ACAATATTTTTGCCATTAGCAAAGTTTACTTACATTAACATGGTACATTCTTCAACTCAATAAACATCTTTCTTAACTAATTATGATTATCATCTATTATTTAATACTTTTGAATTTTTAAAAGTTAATAATTTTGTTGCAAAAGATTTGACAAATTATTTATCAAAACTACTTGTAACAATAAAGGCACACTTAAAGGAAACTCAAGGATAACAAAAAATTAGTGAAGATGCCTATCCTAAGAAACAATATCAATTCTACATAAGGAATAAGGTATGGCTACTTCATCATAATATTAAGATTATTTTCTCTTGTAATAAATTGAATTATTATAGACTTTGATCATTTTTTTATTTATAAATAAATCAATCTGATTTTTTATTGATTATACCTATTGGAGTCTATGAAAATTCATCTTATATTCCATGTAATTTTTTTAAAGTCATACAAGACATTGGATATTTTAGAAACAAGACAAATATTACTTCATCATATAAAAATAAAAAATAATCAAGAGTTTGAAGTTGAAAAAGTCTTAGACTAAAGGCAATGAAAAAATAGATTCAAATATCTTGTACATTGATGCAAATATGTTATTAGCAAACACACATAGAAGCAAATGAAGAATCTTATAAATGCAGCAAAGAAAATTAATGCTTTTTATTAACAACATCTATCAAAATTAAGATGAAGAGTTAAGCAATTATTACTATAAAAGAAACAAGATTCAATGAAGATTGAAATTTATCTTCTATCTTTGTTTATGATTTTTAGATATTTGTGGCACTATGGAGATAGAAAATAAAAAAGCAATATATTCAAGTTATAAACTATTGTTTGCTAAGTTATTAGAAGATGTATTGAGATTGTCACAACCTTCAAGATAACATAATAGAGATGAAGACCCTCAAAACATCTTTTTTCTTGAATAGATAGTGAGATACAATATGTTTGGTATCATGACTTTGGAAGAGACTTTCATTGCTTAGTAATATTATTAGGGGTAGGAACCATTCTTAATAATGTTCAAATGTTTTATTTGAAGAAGTTATAATAGCCTCAACAATGATCAAATATTAAGGTGGTCTTCTTACCATGGTATGAGATACTATTAATGGTTGAGAAGACTTATCAACTATCTCCAAATAGAACAAAGATTAGAATATGTAGCAAATACAATTTATTCTATCTTAGACTTCCTCAACAAATAATTACTACTTGTTCTAGAAATTGTTTGTAGAATACAAAATAATATCAAAGACATATTTTATTATTTAAATAAAAATATTAGATAAAAAAATATAAATAGATTTAATAATATCTTATAGAAAAGCTTTTTAGAAGCTTTTTAGAAACTTATTTCAAGACTCTCTAATTTTCTTGCCTTTGCCAACAGTTATTATAGTTTTAATACTATATTACTTTTAAGAAAACTTCTATTCTATTTAAATGACATAAGAATATATTGAAGATTTTATTATTGTGATTCATATCTTTGATATATAATTTGCACATTAGTATTTTAATTTTTAATTTTTTTTCAAACATCTTGTAACAAAATATATATTTTTTAATATTTACATATGATTTTAAATTTTAACTAGTAAAAATTTGTTTTAAATAAGATAAGTTTTTTTTATTAATTAATCTTTGAAATAGTTGTAATATAATGTAAAGTATTTTTTATTAAATTTAATTGACCTTCTAATTACTAAAATAAATAAATATTTTATTATTAAGAATAATGATTGATTTATTTGAATTAATTTAAAATATTTAGAAAATTTTATTTTAATATTTATATTTATGTAATAGTAGTTGTATGCTTTGAGAATATAAAATTAAAAATAGAAGACATAGTAATTGATATTACGTGATTTAAGGTTTTAAAAAGAAAAGAATAGATTTCATATTAATAAGAAAAATTGTAGTTGTATTTGAAAGAGTCCAAAAACATTGCTCAATATTGGTCTAAAAAATAGTATAACCACAAATCAAAGAGCAAAATGAAAAAAGAAAATAATATAATAAAAAATAAATTTAATTAGCTACACAAAAGATTATACAAATAGATTCTTAAATAATAATATATTCTAAAAGATATATATTTTTATGTAATATTTTATTATTATTTTATATCACAAATTTATTTAGAACCTAAAAGTCATATATTTTTTTTATTTTTTTATTTTTTTATTTTTTTTGTAAATCCTATGCTTATTTTTTGAATGGAAAAATTGTTGAATATAAATATTTATTAAAAAAAAACATTAAACATATGTATCTAAAAGTCATAAAAAATTGATTATTTATCTTTTAGAGATTTCACCTTTTAATTCCTACTAATAGATTTAATTTTCCAAATTTATAAAAGTATAAAAGTAGTTAATATTTTAAAATTCTTAATTAATCTTGTGATTTTGGTTTTATTATTGTTATGCAATCATTGTTCTTATGTAAATTGGATATCATGTAATTTTAAATTTATTTTTGATTTATATAAAGGATTATTAAATAAGTATATTTATATATATATATATATATATATATATATATATATATAAATATATCTATTTATTATAGCAAAGAATTTTATAAAAGTTTCCAAATAAGATTTTTTTTTTGTTGTATTTGTAATTCATTAGTCCTTTTTAAGTGAGCTTTCAATAAAATTTGAAATTAGTATTAAGACTTTTAAGATATATTTAAGAAAAATATAAGTATTCATCTCAAAGATTATTTTTGCAATTACAAAATTAATCTTAATTAATCTTAATTAAGAAGTTCAATTGTTTTTTGGACCAATTTATAATCTATTATAGAAAAAAAAAAGTTATTTTTATGAAATATGAATTTTAAAATATTTTTATAAATTTTATTTAAGATCATTTGTTTTGTTTTATTTAATCTTATATATTGGCATAGATATGTTATTATTAATTATATACAAAAAATAACTTAAAGCCTTGTAAATGTGCTAAAAAATATTTTTACTTTTTATTAATGATATCCATTTAAACTAATTCTAATAATTAATAATATTACTAATTAGTAAAAATATTAAAAATAATTTAAAGAAAAAGTTCTTTATCATATACTTTTATGATTTCTTTATAGATTTTGTTGTAAAAGGATTTAAAACCACCATTTGATATATTTTTATTTTAATAATTTTTTATTCAAAGAAATATTAAATAAACCACTTAAGTTGTTAAAACTTTATAATGTTAAAATCCAAATGAAGATCTTTACGAAAGAAACAATTTTTTTTCAAATAGATGATAAAAGACAAGATATTTGGTAGTATAATATAAGAAGAGAGTCTTAATAGTTAGTAATATTTTTAGAAGAGATAATAAAATATATATATTTCAAACATATTATATAAAAGTAGTTATGAAGACCTTAATAATAATCAAATTATTGATTTGTCTATTTACCCAAGTATAAAATCTTATCAAGGATTTAAAGTACATATAAGCCATCTTAATATAGAGTATAAAATAATTTTAGACTTATGATAAACCAAATACCTTTCACCAAATTATGGACTTAGTCAACTTCTAAAATAATAGAGAATTTGATTACATCTTATAATACTTGTTCTTAGAAAGGAAGATGGAGATAGGAGAGTGAGATGGAAGGAGAAGGATAGAAAGGCGGATCATATTATAAATACTTATACTTCTGAAGTAAAAAAAATAAGAAAGATACAAAAGGTAGAAATACATTAAATACATAATATATTCCTCAAGAAACAATTCAAAAGCTCTTAATTACAAATTGGATTTACAAGTGCATTATGTGGTTATTGTGATTTCTGTAAGAATTTATTTACCTTTAGAAAATTATTACAAAAGCATCCTACAACTTAGATACTTAAATTACAAGTCTCATTGTCTTGAATAAACTTGTACATAGATCCTTTGGTAACTAGTTTATATAGAGGTACAGTCATTTATATTCAATCATAAACATCATAGTCAATTATATTTAAGAATATTAGATAAAAAAAACACAGGGAATGACTAAAACACACTAATAGATTAATGAAATTATAACCATTTATTTTTGACTATTTTATTAATACATAACTATATACTCAGTTTTTAAAGTGAGGAACCTTACTTTTTAAAAAAAATTCCAGCTATTTTATAAATGAAATTTAATGTTTTTTTTTAATGCAATGGCTACTATTTTCTTTTCCTCTCTTTGCAATTATTACATTGTTCATTAGTTGATGAATATTGTTTGCGGCAGTTTCCTAAGAAAATCCATCATAAAACAAATACATAAATTGAAATACAAAACATACAGCAAAAAGAAATTGTAAAGTTTCAGAAATGTATGGGGTAGTGGATGTCCAATTGCATGTATGTTACAAAGTACATGGATTTGCAAGGAGGTATCTCAGTCCCTGAACTCTCAACTGAAGCCCACCTTGTGTCATACAAATAACATTCTTTGAACGGTGTTATATGTTCCCAATTGGTGTTATAATATCTCCTTCTACAGATCTATGGCTTGTTGTATTCTCCAGTTAATTATTTGGTGTTAGAGTCGTTCGCTCCAATGTTCTACCGGTTCTGGTTCCAAGTAATTTCCTTGTTGGCTTCGTTGATAGATTCGCCCAAACACTTTCCACCACATCAAATCCAGCCTGGGAGAGTTGCTTATCTGTATGTGACAACAGCCCACGAAGCATTGACGAGCTTCCTGGAGGACGGTGTAGACTCTGAATAAGTTGGTAGAAGTTGGACCATTGTTGAGTCTATGAAAACTGGTAAAATGAAAAAGTTTGCCGTGACAGAAATTGAGAAAGCTCAAGATAACAACTACCGTTAAACCCCTAGGGCATCGGTGAGACTTGTGCACAGGAATTAATGAGTGATTTGTGATCGACTGACTTCATCTTAGACTCTTCGCATTAATAGCTGTATACCTTTTATGGTATGTAGTAAGATGTAGAATGCAGGTTCAGTTTTCTATTGGCTGTTTGCTTTTCTGTGAAACCAAGATTTGATGAAAGAAAATTGAGTAGTACATTTCAGATACAAGCCTTGCAAGGGCAACAGATGGCGTTTAGTCTCACAACTCTTCTGGGTTCACTAGTTTAGGAATCGCCGTTCAAATGAGGTTCATTGGAGCGGATAGCTGGCCACCACCAGTAAGGCATTTTCTACATCAGGCTAGCTGAATCCAAACTTCACAGAGAGACTACAAAAAGTATTACACCTAGGCCGTATTTTGGAGTCATATCACTCAGACTGTCTGCAGCTCCTGTACAAGGCAACAGTGATAGAATAAGATGTACTGCAAAATATGTCTTTGGACTGATTCAATCACGCTATTCGTTGGATTTGAGCTAGTTTTGGGGTTAATAAAGCTTGATATTGAAAATCAAGTTTTACGATCATGCCAATGAAGAACCTATCTATCAGAGAAGCACTAGCTCACCTTTTCTTTCTGCTTGAATAGTGCATCGATCTTCTTAATGTAGTCATCAGTCATTTTCTGAAACACGCAAGTCCCAAAGATAAGCTCTAGAAAACTTCAGGGTCTTATCACACGCTGCATAACAATCCTAACAAGTATCACCTCTATAAAGATTGTCCAGCTAAGGTGACAATTAAATGAAAAAAGTTAAAGGAAAGGAAGTGTTCACAGTGAGACTCTATCTATTGTAGCACCGGCATTACTTTGCGGACCTATCATACATCCTAATTCAGAAAGACATTATTGTTCCTCTGTGTTTAGGGTGGTTGAGGTGGAATCACCTGAATATCACCAGATAAGTCTTTCACGTTGTCCTCTGAAAGCTTTTTCTCCTGTATTATGAAACAATGCATTCAGCACCTTCCGTTGAACCTTTATATGTATGTCAAAGCCTAAACTTTTACGTCAAAAACTTTCTCAGTGCTTTCAATCCATGTAACCTTAAAAACTTCACTGAAGCATCTTAGAAGTTTAAAGTTTGTAACGTGTTGACAGGATGCTTCCACACGCAAACGAGCAACCCAGAGATCGAAAGTAAATTGGTAGAGGGAATAACAATAACCTTCTCAAGTTTTTCATACGACTTAATCGCATCTCTCCTCACATTCCGAATAGCCACCTGTAGCACAAGAAAGCTAACCATGGTCAGGAAACATGGAAGATATAAGAGACACTGAACAATTTTTTGATCAACAGACATGGAACAGGGTAAAACTAATCAACAAGTTTCAATACCTTTCCCTCTTCGCTGAGCTTGGATACCAACTTCAGAAGTTCCTGAAATATAAACAACACGATACCTCACTTTAGATCTAAGAACACTTCAACCATGATCCTGCTTTCAAAATTATTCAAACATGAAAAATACAAACCGCCGTATCTCAAAACAATCACAATATCTATTGGTTCCTCAAGCATGCTAGAGCAGTACGGAATTAATCTCCAAGCACATGAATACTTCACCATCATGCACCACTTGATTGAAAGTTATGATATGCCATGTACCTTCCTCCTATCTGCTGTTAGTTGAGGAACATTAAGTCGAATAACATTTCCGTCATTGTTTGGCGTAATTCCAATATCCGATTTAACGAGAGACTTCTCTATTGAGGTTAAACTGAATCAAAACAGACCCCACACAACATAAGCGAGTTTATTCCAGACAAAATAAATTGCTGACGTCTACTAAGCATGGAGTTTGGATAATTACCTTGACTTGTCAAATGGCGTGATGAGGATAGTGCTGCCATCTGGAGTGGTAATTTGCGCAATGCTCTTGAGTATGACATTGGTTCCATAATACTCCACCTTGAATCCATAAACACACGCGTAATTTTAAAGATAATCCAAAAAACTCAATATCTTAGAGGTACATATTTCAGATTCGTACATTGAAGAATTTTGGATTGAATTTTAGTGTAAACATGTTACTAAGGACATTGTGCACATAAGGACACCAGAAAATCTCTCATGTGTATGATTTTGATGCGAGTAAACCCTGTTAAAATACTGGGTAATATCATATAGTCATTCACTTCAATATGTATGAAAAGAATAAAGAGGTCAGAGGTCTCGGCGTTTTTATAAAATAGTATTAATTTTGAAAAAACTCACCTGAACACGATCCAACAAACTAGGGGTAGCTCGACCAGTCCGCACAGTGTTGAAGGATGCCTTGGTAGCCTCCAAAGATTTCTCCATCCTCTCCATCTGTCATAACAGCTCAGGATGAACAAGCTGGATCAACGTGGTACTAATAACATTACAGCCACATCCTCGTTCAGACCACACAACTACGACAGCCCTAGAGGCTGCATATGTACAAACCATGTAAACGATAACCCAACAACCTGTTCAGAAGAACCAAAAAATGTGATGTTATCAGATGGCAACAAGACCATCTAGTTTATACTTGCAATGACTAAGAGATATTAAGTGCGTACGGCATCCATTTCAATGAGCTCCTTCTCTGCTTCCACATCTTCCGTCGTAGCTCCCCTGATGACGGGTGACCTGCTTGACCAAACCAGTGAAAGACATCAATAATGATGTGGGCCTCACCATAGACAGTGCTAGCTTTCATGCAAAAAAACACTCGCAACTACTACATATCTAAAAAATTGAACCTGAAGCCCTGAAGCAACATGTTCTTGAGATGAACTTGGTATCACATATGTAGTATGTAATACTGAAACCAAGCCCTAGTCTACATGAAGCAGAGTAGAGCTGCATTTTGAAATTTGTTTCCTTTACAATAAATTCAGAATCGTGGTGAATTCAAGCTTGTAAGAGCCACTTGTACGCTCATCTTTTAAGAAGATAAACAAGTAAATAAATAAGACACCGAGAAGATTCAAGTCCGTTTGCGGCTGATCAGTCAGAATGCCAACTTCCCAAAATGGCATGGAACTTTGACTTAACAGAGCGGGAAGACCGTATATCACGTAACGCTTAAAAGATGCTTACCTTGTAGGCCTCCCCAAGATTTTGATTGAAGATACACGGCACTTCCGGAGTGCAACTGATGCAAAGCTCAACTGCTGTGGCAATACAACACCCCCTCCAACAGCTTTCGTCTTGCCCATGTCTGGAATAACGTCATCAGTGCCATGAGTATCAAATCATTTAAGCTTTTCCAGAAGTTATCATAATTGCGAATTCAAATTTCCCATGGTGAACCACTGTACACTGAAATTGTTCGACATTGCTGAACATTAATCTTGTATATGCAGGAAGTTAGAATTACAGATAGGAACTCACATTGCAAGGGAGACATGGCTTCTTTCACCTTCGCCATGCATGATCCAACGGAGGCTGTCGCACAGACCGACATTGTGCCTCTTATGATATTAATTAGCTCAAAAAATGAACCTCTGTAAAATAAAAAAAGATCCGCTTTCGGTTATATATAGCCCAGACTTGCCTCGGGACATTTTTTATCACCTTCGCACACTCTCTGACGGAATGTCAGTCTCTCTAAAATTGTAAACTAAGTGATAGCCTTAGCTTCAGACCTTATGAAATTCCTATTCCACTCATTTGATTTCAGTTTCCAAGTACACTAAGATCCACAACATTATCACCTCAACATTCACCTAGACGCAAGAAACACCACAATCCATGGCAAACAACGCATTCTGAACCAAGGAACTATATGCAGAAACCTAAACGCAAGATTATGGCGCTAGGGTTCAACTGGTTCTGTATCTTCGAATCGTCAAAACGTGAGGTGCGTATGAAAAGAAGAGAAACACAAAACGACACCAAAGAAGCGACTACTGCCGAACATCCCACAAGAAGAATTGCATCCAGTAAGGCTCCACAGCTAGATATACTACGTAACAAAACTCAACAGCAGATTCATTCGCCCTCCAGGAATAGGCGCAAGAATCAAATTCACCATATAAAATACACCACTCACTCAGTAGTCGCTTATGAAAAGAACATGAATAGGTGAAATTTCTTCCTACTGGGACAATGAGAAGATTGGCAACCATTACAACAAAATCAAGCTCCGCCAGAATGCGTAACACAATTACGCCAAGCGAAGCTCCAAGTGGACGCGACCACTACATCTAGCGACACTCACCCCAATAAACGGTCAAACGAGACGAGAATCGATTCCAGGAGTGCCGCGGGAGGCTGGCAATAAGACCGCAGGAACCAAGAGTTCTAGCACCTCGAATTGCGAAGAAGAGGAATGCGCAGTCGGTGAGGCGTCACTGGAAGCAGGGGGGCGCAATCAGCTCCGAAAACAATCCAAAGGCTATACACGATAGCGAACGTGTTCTCGATCATTCGAACACGTTCCAATCTACGCGCACAGCGGACATCTGATCCGACGGCAGGAAATCTCCGCTTCACTGCCCCAGAGTGCACGACGATGCGCAGAACACCTCACACAGAAACCTATATGAAATGCTACCCGCTAGAATGAATAAATCCAATGGCACAAGGTTAGCTGCGGATTTGAGAGCAATGGCTGGGAGTAGATAAGAGAGACACTTACAATGCTGCCACTGAAATTGGAGGCATAGTTTGAATTCAAGTCATGAAGGTAGACTACTTAAAGCTCGGGTAGCCACCACATTATGAAGGTAGCAAACACAGTCCAACTCGAGGTAGAGTAGCCTTAGGCTGAAGGCCATGTATTTTCAAAGTGTGTGCAATAAACAAAGTGCATTACTCAAGTGGTGTATGTGCTACTAGTTACAGACATTTTACAAAATTCTGTCTAATGCTTGTTTGTTACCCCAAAAGCTTGAGTAACATTAAGTAAAATAGAACTACATGGGAATCATGCACGTGGATATCAATTAGAGGGAGTGCATAGGGAGAATTTTGTTTTCCCCAATGCAGTGCATTGTATGTGGCCAAATGCATTATGCTCTATTCCTCATCACTACATCTGAAGCCATAAATAATACGCAAGTTCTTGCTTTCTTTCTTTCTTTGGTTGCATGTTGCAGAAGGACAATGGATAACAGAGGTGACGACCACATTGGGTTTTATCATTTTTCCATCCATTTTTTATGTTGTGTCCCCTTGCCTTGCTAATGTTACGAGTTGTTGTAGCATGACTTAAAAATAATCATAGGTTTATGAAGTTGAATATCAATATAGTGGACTCTGAATTTGTAGCCATACTTGACAGTCTTTTTTTATTTTATTTTATTTATTTTTGTTTTGAAATTTTAGATAATGTATGTTGTAAGTGCAAGCTATTGCAGAAAACTTGCATGAGTTTAGAAGGCAACACAAGTTGCATATTGATGTATATATGGCATATTTTTCTTTTTACAAAATACATGATTCTTAATACATACTTTTAAAAACAAGAAAAATCATTAATGTCATTATTTATTAATGAACATTCTAACATTTTGCTTTTATTAAACATTGATATCAAATACATGAAGATGTAATGAGTTGAATTGGATGTATATATTTTTTATTGTACTTTCAAAAAAATTGTGATTTTTTTGTTTGTGTCCATATAGTTTAATACCATTATAAAATAACAAGAAAATAAATGCATAAATAAATATCAAAAAATGTTAATTTTATCTTTTTTCTATTCTATTAAATTTTATATTCATATTATAAAACATATTATGAAGTTAAGTATATAACATAATATAAGGTAGTAAGTTAAATATTGTATTTTAAGTTATATCATATTGTAATAGAATATATAGTTTTAATTGGTAAAAATACATAATAAAAGAATGTTTTTAATTTCAGAATTTTTTTGTAACTTACTAAATTCATTTTTATTAATGTAGAATTTTCAATTTTTGTTTTACGTAGCTATTGGAATGCCTTTCTTTAAGCTCCTTTAGTATTATAAGATTTTATTTTAGTATCTTTTTTTTATATGTACTCTAAGTTTTAATCTATCCAATTAAATTTTTTGCACCACTTGATACAAGAGTGTACATTAAAATTAATTTTGATTTCCTAAAAATTGATGTTCAATATTAAAGATGAGAGTCATGCACTAAATGTGTACTTTTAAGTTGGTTGTAAACAAATGATAACTATTGACAATACAAAACAAAAATGCAAAAAAGTTCAAGACTTATTATAAACTATGTCTAAAAAAATCAAATTTCAAATAGTTAATTGTATATTTTATCTTATTTCAGCATGCATCAATTTATTTAGTAAATTCTTACAAAATGTTTGTCATATTTTTATATTTGTACATTCATATTTTGTTAAAATTTTTAAAATAATTTTTTGATATCTAAATACACACAAATCATTTGTATTTATATTTTAAATATTTTAAAAATAACACACTCTAAGTTATATATATGTATATATATATATAGATACACACACACATATATATATATATATATATATATATATAGATACACATATATTGATAGATACAATTTAGATTCTAGTAACAAGAAGATATAAACTATAATTTTTTAAGTGAAGTTGTTTTTAAGTGAAGTTGTTTCCTTAATTTTAGCAATCCAATACATATTTGTCAAATAGCCTTTTTGCATATCCACCTCTTTTAGAAAATTTGGAAAATATAATACATAAAAATGGATATAGTAAATCAAGTTTTTTTCTATTATATTTAATATATATTTTTTAAAATCTAAAATATTATGTAAAATTGTTATTTTAAATTTTTTAAAAATATAATATAAGAAGGTTTTTTTAACTATTTGTGCAAATTATCTCCAAAATTCTCCTATGAAGAATGATATGTTTTAAAGAGAAATAAATTATGAGGATTTAGTAATTTTTATATTATTACTTTATAAATATGCTAATAAAAAAATTAAAAAAAGAAAGAAAAAATGTATATTGTAGGAAAATTTAAGCAATATAAAAAGGAGTGATTAAAATTTACAAAGACAAACTTATAAGAATAAATAATGGCTTTGCAAGAAAAAGAATTTGCAATGTCTTTGTCATACATGAATTTTTTCTTCTTTAACAATGAGAAGTCTTAAAAAAAAGTTACATCAAAATATTCTTTATTGACAAGACTTATTGACAAGCAACTATTAATTCATAAAATTACTACGGACTAGAAATTCATCAAAGTAGTAATTTTATTTATTTAGTAGCAATATTTTAGAAGTTTAGATTAATAGTATTTATTGTATAAGTAACATGTACAAAAACAAAACTAAGATCATTATTAGTCTCATCAATTCAATTTTTGAATCTTCTTTATTTTATGGCTAGCAACCTTTTATATCTTAAAATAGCTACTTGATTGTCATACTACTTTATATCTTGTTACTTCTTATTGCTTTTTGTAAAACTTTATTAAATAATACATATATATATTTTTTATTGTTATAGTATCAAGTTTTGTCCATGCCATAAAAACTATTGTAGACAAATTTACATGTACTCTTTTGATTGAACATGCTTGATACATTTTCAACTCTATCTTTCTTATTGAATTAAGATTTGTCTACTATGTCCTATTGTTTTTTGAATGGATCAAAATTACATAGTTATATTCTAGTACTCTTGAGTTGTAAATGCAAAGCAACCCTTTATGTGCAGCTCTAACATGCACACAAAGTGAAACTTTTTTTCTTGTCCTTTATTACTGAAAATTTGTGTTCTATTTTACTCAAAGTAAAACAAATAGCACACAAAGTGTAACTTTTTTTTCTTGTCCTTTATTACTGAAAATTTGTGTTCTATTTTACTCAAAGTAAATCAAATAGGACATTATCCTATATTAAAAGGGTGTGAACATGTGGCTCTCTTGTCTAATAGGAATTTGTTTACTCTATGTTGATATATTCTTCTTTACTCTAAATTTCCTCGCCTTATTTTGTTCAACTCCCTTTGTTCCTTCTACTTTATTGGTACCCTAAACCAACCTCACATTTGTACCTCATCTTTGCTAGCACAAGACTGTACTAGTGCTACGTTGCCCCCACCTTTCACTCAGGCTTGTTCTCTCCTTCATCCTCCAAACATATCAAACAGTCAAAAACAAAAAAAAAACAAAAGGAGAAAATGCGTTGGAAATCTTTGTTGGTCCAAGTGGATTCACCATGGTGATAAAAGCTTGAGTAGTGAAATACAAAGATGCATTCCAGTTTTGACCGAGTCATTAGTCTGACCTACGTCCCTGAGTTCCAGACCACAACAAAATCCATCCTCAATAGAGTACAATTTCCGAATTAAGTAGCATTATACAATGTATTAATGTTGTGAAGTATGAACAATGCAGCGGAATCTCTGCCTGCAGAGATGAGTCCTCTCAGTCATGTAGACTAACACGAAGACTGATAGAATAAAACACGGGTTCAGGACCTAATTCGCATGCAATTTACGACTACTTGGGCAGCTTAGCTTCCGCTGCGGCCAACTTAGCATCGGCCTCACCAACTGCTCTTTTCAAATGGAGCACTTGGTACTGCAGCTTCTTATTTTCGTCAATGAGCTTCTGCTTTTCAGCTTCCTGCTCAGCTTTCGCTCCCACCAACTTCTTCCGTAACTCAGTCAGGGATTGTAGAAGGTCCTCTCGTCCAGATGAACCTGCAGAAACATCCCTATCAATAATTATAACATGAACAGAGTCGATGTCTACTTCGAAAGTAGGCATTGCTGGAGTGAAGCACCGAACAGTGGGAACAGAACATACCTTGGTTTTGTTGAGCGGCAGCCTCGAGCTTTGCTAAACGCTCCTGCATAGTAAGGTGCTCATAAATTAGATACTTCATCTTGCAAAGCTGATAATCTATTGTTTGTGACCCACAATAAAGTGAGAAAGGCTCGACCTCTAAAAAGAAATGCAAGAGGCAAGCTGTGAAACAAAAAAAAAAATACAAAATAGAAAATGCCCCTTGCAAGATTATAATGCAATATACACCAATTATGGAACAAGACCCAAGAAAATTCAATACACGAAATTGACTGGGGAACATCAGATTGTCTTAAGCTCCAGTTATTCTCTGGTACTTAAAATATTCCCCAATCTTCTTGTACAGTAGTCCTCCAACACGAGTTACCCTTCCACGATCCTCCATTTCGTATTGGACATTCACAGTAATCAACGACCAGGTGAATTTAAGTTGAGTTTGGGTAACCAGCGCAAGACCGATATATTACCTCAGCCATTTGAGCACGCTCCTCAAAAGGTTGAAGCAGACTCCCAATGTCCTTGTTGGCACCCATTGTCTCACGCAGCTACTCTACACTTGCAGAAAATCAAGAATTCGCTCAGCGGTTATAATCAAGTGCACCAGATGGGCAAAAGGAAAACACACCAGCGCGTAGATCAAAAACCCCTCCGCCAACTATTTAGAAGTAAAAAAAAAGCAACACCTCAAATTCGTTCAGAGCTCACTGAAACAAATCCAAAAACTCAACAAATAGGAACCCTCAAAATTCCAAAAAAAAAACTGAGTCCGAACAGAACCCCACAGATTCACTGTCAAACCTAGAAAACGAAGAGGGAAAAAAACATCAAAGAAGGGCAGCAACATCCCAGCCGAGGCAGGTGATTGAGAAACAGTGCCCTCCAAAAAAGTAGTAATACAAGGAATTTCCATACCTGGTAAGACTGAAGAGAGCAACCAACTTGAAGAACAAAGAGCTGGTGGAAGCAATTCCGGTGGCACAGATCAGGAGGTTGAAGGTCCGGCCATAAACCCTAAACCTACGGAACAGCAACGCCAATTCCTTATCTCAAAGCCTCAGCATTATTCAAGGCAGCTAGGTATCAATCTGGCTAATAAATATTGATCACCTAGGTATCAATCCAGCTATAAGTATCGGTCATCTACGTATCAACCTAGCTGGTTGTGCACGGAAGAAATTCACAAGATCTGCAATCTGAGCAACTATGGGTGATGGTCGAGAATTAATTTTTTGAAGCAAACACAAATAAATCATGGATATATCTTTCATATATTATAAGGCAGCTTGGGTATAACACAAAGAGACAAAGAAGTCTTCTGATTGGACATGAGGAAGGGAATTTGGGGAACACTCATAGAAATCAAAGAACATAAAAATATGGGAACGAGAGAATGGATGAATGAAAAAGCATGGATGTGTGATGTGAGAGAATGCGGTGCTCAACGACACAGGTTTCAGCTAATCACTATATGTAATAAAATATATATATATATATATATATATATATACATATACATACATACATACATACATACATATATCTTTAAACACACACATCTACACACAAATACATGTTAGTTTTAACTTTTTCCAATGTACATTCATCATGTAAAATATTCATGTTTCTGAACTCTTATAGAGATCAAAATAAATATATAATCTTATAACTTACTAATTATTATTGAACTTTCTAATATATTTTTTATAATAATTATATCAAATTAATATCAGGTGAATTTTACAAAATAACTTCAATTCAATTGAGTAATTATTTTTAAATGTAAATATTTGATATGATTATATTTTTTATATATATATATATATATATATAATCAATCAAAATGATCCAATGTTTGCTGATTTGAAGACATGATTAGTAAGGTGCTTATTTTTTTTATATTTTCTTAAGGAAAAAAATAACTACATAAATGTGAGAACTTCTTCATGTAAAGAATTTTTGTGTTCTTTTATTTAAATTTTGTTTTTTTATAGTGTATTCTTAGATAGTACTGATAATTTCTTAATTAGTTAAAAATAAAATAAATCATAATTGATAAGAATACACTTATAATAAAAGATTACAAGCTACATAGCAAAACAAAATATGGTTCTTTTATTCTACTATTAGATCTTGTTTGTGGTTCTGATATGGTTTTTATTATTTAATGCAATATTCCTATATATATATATATACCCATTTATTTATGTTGTAAAAAATAAAGTTAAAAATGTGATTCTTTTATTTTACAATTAAATGTAAATTTATCATAATTTGTTTTGCTTCACACCAATTTTTAATTTGGTATTTTACCATGATTGTTGTGTACTTTGCTTGATCTAAGAATTATTACATAGAAAATATAATTTTTTATTAAATACACATATTGATTGAATGTATAATATCTAATATCCATTATAAAAAATAACTATTTGTAAAGCAAAGTTTGCTAATTTTGCTTCATCATAATTGTAACAATCTCATAAAGCATCAACTACACAATTATATGTAATACCATGTCACCTAAGTTTCTTGTCCTTTAAATTTATTGCAATAGACAAATAAACACTTAGCTATATTTTTATTAAACCATTGATAATATAACAACCATATAAACACTCCAAATATAACCATATAAAAAATCCAAATAGTTATTAAAATATTTTTAATAAGTGATACATTTTTCATTTGTTTTGAGTTAAGTTAATTTCTTATGTTCTATATAATTTGTGTGTTAATAAAGTATATGTAAGTAGATATAAGTTTTTACTATCTTAAATGTTGCCAATATTACTACAGTCTTACAAATAACAAAATTATTAAATAGATCTAGTATTTTTTGGATCATTAATTCATTTTTGAAATTTTAATGATTTTATTTTTGTTAATTTAAATACTGATTTAATATCATTTATACTTCACTTGGTTGTTCTGACTTCAACAGTGCTAAAACTTTATATTTATGATTTTAAAGATTTCAAGGATGGATAAGCATATCAGTATCAATATGTTTATTAATATAACTTATTAATCTATCTAGATTTAAAATTTTCTATTGTGAGTACAATTGTCTGACTAGATTTTATTATATAGTGTAGTTGTAATGTCAACTCCAATAGCTTTGAGACTATTTATAATCATCCCAAAGACTCTTAGAAGTGTCAAGAAGATTTTATATTTTATATTTCCTACTACTATAAAAGGAATAAAAACCAAAGAAATAAAAATACATATACACATACAATTTTTTTAGAAAATTAAAATTTTATTATTAAAAAATAATTTACTTAATATTTTAATGATGGAAAACCTGATTGTCATAGGAGGTGGTCACAGTTAATGTTGTAAGGTGTGCATTCTATTTATATATAAAAGAACAAAAATGAAATTATAAACTATAAATTTTCACACTGAAATTAAAAATTTATAGTTTATAATTTCATTTTTAATTTCAGTGTGAGAGGCTTTTAAAAGTTGTATTTAAAGATCTGCATAATAAAGTATAAAGTTTTTGCATTAAAGCTCAAAATTGTTACACAAGCAGAAGGAACCAGTTTATGTGGTTCAAAATGAACTGAATTGAAATTGGATGATTTCCATGTGAACAGAGAAGAGCATCCACGGAGGACGCACAGAACTCGTTCATCCGTTTGGAAGACGGATACGCTCATCCATCCAACCTCGACACCCTCAAAATCATTCATCCAAATCAATGCGAGAGGGGTGTTCAGTCCTCCCCGCTACGCACTTGCCCCATCCGCTTGTCCATGAATCCTTGCAACCTGCTTCTCGTCCTGCGGGACGTCGACTTTGCACCTCCACGCTAATCTTCCCATTGATGTTGCAGGCACGAATTCCTCTCTGTTTCCCACCCCTCAATCTTGAACGGAAATTTTGAGAGAGTGGGGAAAGTAGTGAAGCAGGGGTTGGTGCAGGGTGGGACTTTTCAATCAGCTGATATAGAGGCTTGGAATGTGTTTGATTCAAGGGACCGCTCGCTGAATTCAGAGTGGACTTGGGTTGGAGGGCGTGTCTGTCTGTGGAAGGACTACAGGCAGAGTGCACTGCTTCGTGAGAATATTGCGATGTTTGATTCTGTTGTTGTGTAGTGGTCGGCAGCTTTATATGATTTGGGGGGGGGGGTGATCTAGGAATTCAGACTTGTTGAGAATTGTTGGAGGGATTGCGAGGGACGGATATCCTGCATTGGAGGGTAGAATGTTGAATTTTCACCGAGGAACACAGAGTCGAACCCAATTATGTGCGTCTTGACACAATCTAGTTTGAGTGAACTCCATAGAATGTCGACATTGATCCAAACTCGGTTTGGTATTTGTTAGCAGCTTCATCTTCGTAGACTAGTGTTGTATTATTTGAAAGTGGTTTGCGATTTCAGACCACTCGTCCGGCATTTGGAGGTTTTGCTGCTATTTGACTTTCTGTATAATGCAGCTTGCCAAAAGTTCTTGGAAGCTTCATTTAGAAATATTCGAAGAGGAAGCTGCTCCACTTGTATCCTCGAATAATTTTTGATGATTTTTCGAGAAGCATAAAATTCAACTGTTTTTCTTGTTTCATGAGATGTGGTAGCTACGTCAGTAATAAAACTGTGCCCACATTGTAGCTATAACTGGATGCGCTGAAGTTTCCAAAGAAAGATTATGGCTCTAGCGTCCAGTTCGAGATTGGCGGCCTTCATTTCTGATGTTCACTACAGGCTCGTTAGTCATCCCCTAGTCTTTTCTTGCTCTTCATTGATATGCTATGGCCCTCTCGGCATGTGAAAATTGCGCTCTTATTTTGAGTTTTACAAAGAATGTGCAATATTTGAATACACAATTTATCTCGTTGTAGAAATTATTCTGAGCAATTTCTATGGACCTCTCTTACTCTGGGGGCATTGTTGGCTATTTTCAGGTTGAAACAGTCACAGAAAAATAATTTTAGTTGCACTCTCCGACGTACTGATGGCTCATTGGAGCTTTTGAAGCTTCCATCCGCCTCTAATCATGTAGAGGTCCGCTGGGTAAAATCGTATGATGTCCGGTGCTCCTGTTTCAAAACAAATGCAGAATCAAGCTTCACCACGAATGCTTGTCTACGTCCTAGTATTCCTGATACTGAAGACAGCTCCCTCTCTCTGCGAGACAATCAGCTAGGCAATCCCCCAGAATTGGTAAACAGGGAGGAGAAGGATATTAGGACTCGAGCAGCATTGAACGGTAGTTCATCAAAAGTTAATCGACGGAGAACGATGTTGGCTTCTCTGGCAGCCTTCGATGTTAGTTGCTCGTGTTGTAAAGCGTCCATGGCTGAAGAGTGGAGCTATGGAGGTCCTTCTGGAGCTTCAAAATGGAGTGGTACTTGTTCCATTGGTGCACGACAATCACCCATTGACGTGCCCATCAAAAAGGCACAGTACGAGGAGGCTTTGGAAGAGTTGCTGATGGATTACAAAATGAGCACCCCTACTTTCAAAAACCCAGGCCATGGCACAATGGAGGTATCATGATCATTCTTCTTCTTAAAGCCGAAACCTGAAATATTCTCGGCTTGCCAGGAAGGAAGCAAATGTCGTTTTGGGGGTTATAACACTAACGCTATTTCTGAACTCGTTTTATTCTTTGTTATACGACACTTCAAGTGTAGATCTGTGTTGATCTGAGGCAAGTTGAAGATGGTTAAATTTCTGTTAGTCTGCGACTTTTGGCAGGTCCACTTTCCGGAAGGAGTGAACAAGCTTCGGATCAACGAAAGAGAGTTCAATTTGGTGCAGTTCCACTTTCACGCCCCATCAGAGCACGCATTTGATGGAATTCGCTTCCCTATGGAGGCTCACTTGGTGCATCGTATGTGCTTCTCGTCCTGTTTGTTTGGCGCATGTATTATAGCATCTCACGTTTAATACCTAGTTGGCCTAAAAATTTATCTTGAGTCGTTTTATTCATTTTTGCATTACGTCTAAAATGTATTTGTATACATTTTTTGCACTTTGTTAATGTGCAGGGGATCCAGTGACCAAGGCTTATGCTGTTGTTGGGTGAAAGGACATGTCCAGCAACTTTTATATTTTAGTGCTCGAGAGAGGATCCATAGCAGCATTGGCGTTTTAGAATTCTGTGCTTAGCATTTAATGGAGTGTGCATTATTTTGTAATTTTTTTCATGGATTCAACTCTGGGAGTGCTTTAAGTATGCGTCGTACTGCTTTAATTGCAGAGTTATGCTGGATGCTGCCCCTGGTGGTAAGTCAAATAGCGCCCTCGCTGCAGCTCTCAAGTACTCGCCCTTGGAACGCGGAAAAGCTTTGTAAGTTTGTTTTTTCCAACATTAATAGATTTGAACGGATATTGCAACTTTGCTTCGACGATCGTTTGGACTAGGTTGCGGTACCAGTCCTCAGATCTCAGATTCGACTCATCCCTCCTCTGACTCAAACAAATAATATCTATTTCCTTGATTACATGGTTCGTTTATTAAAGAATCTTCAAAACCGTGACGAGGTGCCTGTGATGAGCTCATTTCATGGTCGTAGATCTTGTTCTGAAGTGTAACTTCATGAATATAAGACAATCACTAATCAAAACTTGTACCACTATCTGGTAGGACTGAACCGAAAATACAGATCTCTGCTAATGACCTTCTTCCTCCGAAGGAAATGAAGGTGATCCCCTGTACAAATTTCCATCCTCTGCTGTTATCTTGTCAAATTTCAAGTTCATATTTAGGTTAGTAGCTCAGGTCCATTCGTAAAAGGTTTAAGTTTGCGTGCTTGAGTGCAGAATGACAGGCGATATATACATTACATGGGCTCTTTCACTACGCCGCCGTGCAGTGAATCCGTTGACTGGTTTCTCCTCAGTGAGTGAATGTCTTCATCCTTACTCTGCACTTATGTTTTGCGTCTCTTTCGAGACTTCGTTCTGAACTGTGATAAATAATTTTTGCAATGTGCGTTTGGATGGACTTTGCGTATTACAGCTAGCCTTTTGTAGGTTTGGCATTTGCACCATGTAAATACTCTCAGCAGCTGCTTGAATTCAAATTCCTTTGCGTATTCGTCTGATTTGACTATCTCTGACACTTAATTGTCAAGATTCTGTCACTTGGTTAAAGCCATTGTGTTTACTACAAAGTACAACGAAGCTCTTGTGAGTCCTTGCTTGTACGTCAAGTCCTTATATTGAAGTACTTCATTACATTTAAACTTGAATTATATTTTGCATTATAGAGAACCCCTTGAGAGTGCCAGCGACTGATATCCTGGAATTCATGAAGTTTGCGGGCGATGAGCAGACTCTGGCTATGAATGCGGTATATTGCTTTCTCTCAAGTCCAATTCGATATTATTCATACAACTATTGCTGAGCACTTTACTCGCCTCTTGCTGTATTATAACTCTGTAATTACTCTGCTAATTGACCTACTTGCTGTCTTCACTTGGGGACGCAGAGACCGATTCAGCCACTGGGGGATCGAAGAATCTTTGAAGGGCCATACACACTGAAAAATCAGTAGATTTCCGGATGTTGAAAGTCGCCTGATCTTTCTACAAATGCCTGTGGATTCCAATCAAGCTTTATAAAAACACCAGGATGTCATCGAAATTGAGAAGACAAGATTCTTCTAAAGCTACCTGTGCATCAATGACACTAAAGCATAATTCTCTTCTATTAGGGTCTCATGTTCAAGTTTTAGGAGAAAGTCCACGTAAGAAGGGATTAAAGTCATTCATTTTCTTGATATCTATTAAGTGCAGTGGATCACCGTGCCAGATTTTGGATATGTAGGTCGGGGTTTGAATCCTTTTGTGGTTAGTACTCACTGAGTTCTCGTTAAGCAGTACAACAGCCATGTCTTCTTCTTCTTTGTTAATTTTGTTTTATTCTATTAAATTAAATTAACTTTTGTTTTGATGATAAAATGGTTCTACAATCTAGATTCAAAAACATCTTCAAATCTCGTATGTAATTTTAATATCTATTTATAAACTGCAAAGCCTTGTACAAGCCTCACGACCAAGTCACTGAAACGCAAACGAACAACTACGTGGTTGACATCTCTGTCTGCACTTTTGGATCTGTTCATGAAACTTTGGCCCCCTGTAGTAATCTCGACGTAACGGAGTAGGTGCTGTTACTTGGATTTTAATGTCTTCACGATTATGTTGAGTAATGGTTCGTTGATGCCAGCAGAGTAGTAGTGAATATTGATATCAATTGTCGAATTGAGTGTTTATTCTAAAGAAATGCTTTGGAGTAATGACAATGTAGAAGTGATCATGCGACATGTAAGGGCCGGAAAAATCAATGGAGAGCACTGGTTTGCGTGAGGTTTCGTAGCTTCCCCTGTGAAGGTAACTTTGATGTATCCGCGGATTTTTTTATTCTGTACTGCTAAGAGGTTCATAGCGTCAATTTCAGTATGAAGGATACTATCGCAACGAGGACTTGTAGGTCGTTGTCTTTTGCAGCTGTGTGTATCAGTTGTGAAGTTAGGACGCCGGTTGGAATAATAGACATGGTGTGAGACCTGCTTTGTCGTGTCGTTAGGCAAATTTTCGAATGGCACTTTTCTTTCAATTTCGTGATGGTGCACTATCACGGCCCCAAACGGCTACTTCTTTTGCAGCTCAGATCATTTTCGCGCTTGATCATTTGATATTCCAAACTAAACATCCTTCAGTTCCCCATTTGTACCTCTATCGGTGCAGTGCTTCAATCTTGATTCCATTTGCCAGTGCGCGAATGTTCTTGGTAAGAAGGGTAAGTAGTAACCAGAGTAGCCATCGACGGTCATCTGGTGTGGATGCGATTGAAGCCACTTTTTGAGTTAGTAGTGCTTGCTCTGTCATGGGAAAAACAGAAGGATGATTGTCAACGACGTGGTATTTCGATAGCAGATACTTTGAAATGGGAGGCTGAAGAGGTCTGCAGCTTCTGAAGTTCTGATAGATATATTCAGGAACGTTGAATATCGTTCAGAGCGATGTTTCAATGGATGGGAGGTGCGCGACGCAAAATAGGAGCAGTAAGCACCTCGCCACTTAGTTCAATTTTATGTTATCGATTGGGCGTTCTGCGGCTGCTATGCTACTCAAATTACATACTGCACTTTAAGTACTGTGTAAATTTTGGTCCTGTGTGCACTAATACGGATTTCGTTTGGCATCTTCTCTGCTGGGAATCCTCATCAAAGACAAAAGATTCAAAATTAAAAAGGTAAACCTTCTGGAGTTTCATCCTCTATTATCCTAATTGGCGGCATACATCGAAGTTACTAGAGGTTGCGATTCCGTCTCGCACTTTGGAGTTGAAACACGCACAAGTTTTGATTCCAGCAGCTTTCTTTTATCATTTGAAAAATATTACTCTTGTCCACAGCTTTTAATTTCCTTTATGCTCTTCTATAATGCGTCATCAGTTTTGTACGTGATGAGGGTTGACGTTCACCTAATCACCTCTTTCAGTGGTGAGCGAAAGCAGCCAAGCATTTCAACAATGTAATTGTATATGCGTTTATGCGTTGGTATACAGGCAACGCGAGTTTTTCGATCACCGCAAGGAGAAACAGAGGAGAACTGAGAGTGTGGAAGAATCTAGAAAGCCACACACACTTGCTGATTACATACAACAAAATCTACACGGGGGTGAATCACTTGATATTCTTGGACTCCGGAATTTGAATCCCACTGCAGCTGATGCTTGTACTACAGAAAACCCTGACGTCAACTTTCCCGATCATCCTGCTAATGGTTTACCTTCTTCACTCTATTGATGATTAATGCCGTGTAGCATCTGTCTACTCTGCGTCGTTAATTTCTTTGCATCAAGATTATTTTGAAAAATCGTAGATCGTTCTCTCAAGCGGTGCTAAACAGTAGACTCACGTGAACAATACAATTTTCAATACCATCCCAGGAGGCGTGTCTGATATTTCTTAACAAGAGTCCTAAATGCGATTAATACTCTGCGAAAATATGTTTACAAAACGTCCTAAACCTGCATAGTGCCAATCAATATGTTTTTCAAAATGATTGTGACCTAATGCTGGGTTTAACACGTAATGGCTAAATTTCATATGAATTTAATCATGTAATATACCTCGCATCCTTTTGAACCAATATAGATTGTGAATGTTGGCATATCACAGCTGCAGTAGGACCAAACTCGTGTGATCTTGAAGATTTGGCTGTCGTAACTTCGAACATGAGCGCATTTCCAAATGGTGCCTTGAAGGAGGATGCCCAAATCATCTCGTCTCAGCAGTCTGGTATATCTGTTGAACTGTAATTCAAGTGGCAACGTCTATTTAGTGATTAAGAATTGTTCAGATAACAGTCATTTATGTATAATTAGACCTGTAAATATAAGTTTATCACGCTGAAGTCTTTTGCTTAAATGGCTCCTAGTGGTAGGGAAATTCTTCAGCTAACTGCAAATTTCTGAGATTGAGAAACTGTTATAGCTCCTGTTAACACAATGTTGAAACGACTTGGATTGTTCGATTGGAAAAACTTGGGCGGTTACAGAGCGTACAACAAGAAGTCGCCGCATCTTCGAAGATTCCAAGAAACAGAATCCGTAAGGGAATTTTCAACTTACATCTAAATGCGTTGGCAAATTTTTCATTGAGGTCTCATTTCATCTCCATGATTGACTGTAAAAGTTATTTAACTATGATCGATAAATTTTGTCTCCTGCAGTGATTGCACTCAATGGACAACAGGAGTTGCTGCTACAGCTCAACAAAAAGTCAAAAAACATATTAACCGAAACACAGGGATTCCAGTGCCTGCTAATTTAAGAAATCCTATTCACGTTGGAAACCTGCAGACGAAGAAAGTATGTTCAACTGCTCCTCGTAAGTATCCAAGTTACCTTAAACAGAGGCTTTTTGCATGATTGACTTCGCTTGTTTGTAACATTTTCCTCCAGCATACATTCATTGCTGGTTTGCAAGCTTGTCTTACGTCTCTTTATGATCTAATGCAAGTCGCTTCCGGGACGAAGCTAATGCTCTGCTTGGCATACTTATTCCGAAACATCCTCTATGAAAATTTGTTTTATTATCAGCTGTGCCAACATCCTATAGAAGAGTTTCATCGAAGCATATCCAAACTATGCTCGAAGAATTAGCGGGATTCGGAACAGGACTGTTCACTTTATGCTAATGTTTTGACAGGATTGAAGCATTTCGACACGATCAGCAACGATGTCCCAGGTGGCAATCGTGGTACAACGAGATCACCTTCAGAAGATTATGCCGTCTTCTCTCAAGAAGGTGAAGTGAAAAGTTTGTAGTAAACCTACCCTGCTTTCAATAGAGCATTACGAGCATCCCTATGAGGACATATTTTAGTTAGCAACTTGCAAATAAGAGGTGATCTGACTTTCATTGTGGAAATATTGGAGCTTTAGGCTAGATGTTTGAAGCTTCGTATCCTTCTAGGCCCTTATTTTAGATCGTATGTGTTCTGTTCCTGAATTCTATGATGGCTGGGCTTTGGATGCAGAATTTTACGCTATCGACGAAAGCGCGTTTGATCCAGTTGTCGAAAATTCACAGCAGATGTTTAATTTTTCTCACAGGTTATACGGTCAAAGTATATTTAGCAGAGTATCAATCGAGTATTAGATCATGCTTATTTTTTAGTGTGTTTTCTGTTCGATCATTCAAGTCTTCAATGAACGTTGAATTGCTTTGTCGAATTTGTGTTCATCATCATCAATTTAGATTATAGATGACCTTTACCTTATATCAGTTCAAAGATTCTATTCCGCATTTTGGTATATATATGAGATTGTGGTAAGCTTCTAATTTTTACGAAACCTTGATGTGAAGTCAGTGATGCGTATTTGGTTGACACAAAACAACTTCACACTCCATCGTTACAGTTGAAGAACTCCAGCGAGTCTCATCTTGAATCTTCAGCTCCAGAAACTTCTGAACTTTTAAGCAGATTCTTATCAACTCAGAAATTGAAGGTGCTCGAACAAGAGGACGAGCTTGTGGTAAGATCCTCAATTAATTTGGTACAATCCACGAGATTCAAAAGGGGGATGCTTTATTGAATTAGTGAGTTAGTCCGTGGAAAATTAGGCAGCTTTAGGCAAACACTTTTTTTGAATAGTGAAAAACAAATTTTCATTGTTCGGATCAGTTAGGAAAATATACTGAAATTATGTGAGTTGTTTGCATCCTTTTCAGAACAAGCCCAGTGGTTCACAGCAGCATGAGCGTTGGCAACTAACACACAACGAAACGACAGATCTCCCTTACGAGGCACATTCTTTGCCGAATTCTGTCAAGGCAGCCAACGAGTGCCACAATTTGGATTTCTCTAATCCTACTTTCAACATGATAAACGTACAAGTGAAGCAAGAACCATCTGAAATTGATTTCTCCAATGAAAAGTTCGTCATCGAGGATTTTCCCGTGAAGCAAGAGTTTATTTTTTCTGACCCTTTCCTCAACACCATGAAGTATCAAGAGTACAGTCAAGAAAATGAACGTTTGAATTTCGGTTCCAATATCAGTGATCACAGAATGACTCAGGACTGTCAATATTTGGCAGACCTGAGCTACGATGAGCCAGCTTTCAAAGTCGATAGCAAGTCATTCGATTTAAGGGAAGGCTTGGAGTGTCCCAATAAGGATCCAACCACTTGGTATTGCGGCACTCCGTTGAGCGCTGCATTGACAGCTCCCAATTCCAAGGGAGAGTTTCCTTTTCTTGATCATTTGAAGTTAACCAAGATTCCGAGCAGTGTTGGATCACAAAACAAAGACTTATGCCAATCCGGAAGCTATGAGGTCTCTCCACCATATCTGACATGCCGGAAAAAACAGTTCAACCTGGGCATTGCTGATGTAAACAAAGATAATTTTTTTGACACGATTGAAATTTCCTCCTCTCAGCTTGAAGATGAAGAATTTGCAACCGCGAAGTTCGACAACTTGCAGTTCCCAGTGGATGAATTGGAGTTTGAGGGGCAGCAAACTGAAGCAGCTTTTTTCTCTCTGGATCTCCACTCACCAAGCCAAATGAAGAGGAATCAGTGCAATTTCGGTAGTGAATCTCCAGTTTGTTATGACGATTTGGTTGGTAAAAACTGCACAATAACCGAGCGGTGGAATTGCGAGTCTTCTGTACCATGGGACGCTCTGCATCAGCAGGTAAGATGTGTATTGAAATAAATTATGCAGTCTCAGTATGTTCTCAAGGACGAAATTTGGATCACGCCCTGCTGAAGCGTTATTGCCTCTGCATTCTATTGGTCAGTATCCATGCACATTACACAGGCATAGCAGGCTCATGCAATTGTAGGATATTGTTCTGATATTTCCTAGGAGGAATACCAGAATCATTAACTGTTGGGAGCTACTGTGCAGGAAATCTTTGATCCTGCTATTTCTGGGAAAAACTTAGGCCAAATGCATGATCTTAATGACGATAACTCCTGGTATCACATCGCAGCCGGAAAGGATTTGCTTGATGGATTAAAACAGGATATAGAGCAGCATTTGTCAGCAGATCATTTGTAAGTGCACACTTTCAACTTGATGTATTTGGGAATCTAATAACTGCTCCCAGCGTAAGGTTATTATGGAAAATATGGAAGGCTTGGTCGAGTCTGATAAGATGTTTTCATGTCGTTTTGTACACGTTGAAGTATTTGTTAACCAAGCCTTTGAAGAATTTTACCTTGTCATCTTTCACAATAGGTTATTCCTGGAATGATACCATTATATTTGTAGGTCAGCACACAAATATTTTCACCATATTCATACTTGAGGTCAAGGTAGTTTGGGAAAAGGCATCGTTATGTATCTGTGGGGAGTCTTTTGACACTTGATAGTGTAATTGCAGCTCGGACTGTTCATCCGTTGAAGTAAATGTAATAAAAGGTACCTTTTCCCTCTAACCACAAGATACCTTAAGCATGTCATATTTTCTACATAGATGGTAGGAAACGTTACAAGAGAACAGCCCATCACACAACTTTAGGATAATCCCCACGTCCTTTAGAGTCTTTTCTTGCTGGCATTATTGTTGTCGCTAATCTCACAGTTCCCGTGATTTTAAAGTTTAACAACTTTATTATCTATTGATACCTATCTGTAACTTCTCCGTGATATGTTGAACACAAATTACACTGTCCTCTTATTGCAAGTGAAATTGTTTCGCGGAGGAATACAGCGCATAGTTAAAGTTCGAAAACTTTGTTTTCAAAGAATCACAGTCGTTGTCCTTAGCTGAAAAGAAAAGATCGTTCTAGCTAGACGCAGCGTTCTGTTGCACCGAAAACTCTTCTAGAACCTAAAGCTAGTTTTCTTACCCTCGATCGACAACGGAAACGAGAACTTCATCATTGTCTGTTTTCGTGACAATGAGGATTGTCGTACTGTGGATACGAATACTGTCTCTCTTCCAATCTAGTCGATTAATTTTCCTCTACAAGTGTTTGGCGCTGTACAATCGACATCAGGAAAGGAACAGGACATCAATAAACTGCCCTTTGAAGTTCAAGCAAACAAGTAATAATCCTACCATTATCTACTCGTTTGTTCTAACTATTATGTTCGGACCGCTCCTCGCTGTACATTATGAATGGAGACCGAATAATTTGAGATTTGAAGCTAAGAGAGAGGGTTGAGGTGAAGAAAAGTTTGACTCTGTGATGGTCTCAAGGTTTCAAGTGTTACATTTTATTTGTAAACGGCTCCTACAAATAGGTGGCTCTTATTTATGAAAAGGTGGTTATAGCAAAGTCAAGTGTAGATTATAAAAGGTTGCTCTCTTCAAAAGATGGTCTAAAGGGGAATTGATCTTATGTTATGTGAAAAAATTGAGTAGTTGCTAAATTGTTCATTATAATTTTGTCCCTTGATACGCCTTCAACTCAACAGTGAGTGCATAGAGGGTAGATGACGTAGTTAAGCAGTCGTGGATAGGCTTCGATGAGATCAAAGAGTGTATGTACCAGCGTAGTGTAGGAACCAAGTGAAAACGTACCCACATGCTCTTAGAAACGAGATTTTATGATCACCTCGCAGGATGTGTCTAGAAACCGTTGATTCACCCAAAGGGGGGAAAGATACTACAACAGGTACTTCACCCTTCCGATTCCTGTACCATCCTCTGTGCATATACTCGCATTACTTCGATAAAAAAAAATTAGCTTGAAAAGGTCGGCATCTCTTTGAAGCTACAAAAGTTTGTTTACCTAATGTAGAGTTTTATATTGTTAAAGTGGAGTAATGTTTGATGTGCAGCTAAAACAACGTCCATTACCAAGCTATTACTGGAGGATAAAGACTTAGCTTGTGATACAACTCTGACAAAGGATTGTCACAAATTTCGAAATTGTTATCCTCTCCTTCCAATTTCGCTCAGAAGCCTCAGAAAAGAAACCGAAGTTCTGTCATGGAAAATCGAGTTAGAACCTCAGCGTGAAGTATGTTCTGAATTGCTGCAGACCCCAAATACTAGGATATCATCGTCGAATTTGTTACCGACAGAAAGGGGGAAAATCGAAGATAGTCCAACCCATCGTAGATCCAGCGTTGAGATGAACCATTCGCCTTCAAAAGAATTATTCGAACACAGTATACGGAATGAAATCATACACAATGTTGAGGAAGACTCTCTGGAAATCTATACCCTTTTTAAAGCATTGCCTCAGGAGGATATCAATGGTATGAGCACAACTGAAGGGGGTCTGCTACGGAAGCAATTAAGGCAAGAGGATTCACATGATTTTCATGGCCGAACCCCTTTCTCAAGTCAAGAAGAATGTTCACCAGAATTTCAGCTTAGAAAAGTCCATACTGTTCTTTGTAAACTACAAAGACCTACCGATTCTCGTAGCTCAAAGCAAGGTGAGGTTCCGGACCAAGGAGCTGGGAATGTCAATACTGTTCTTCTTAAATTTCAAAGACCAGCAGAACCCTCGCACTCTGGACCTGGTCTCCAAGATCCAGAATCGAATCGAAGTGCTGAAAAAAATGTCAAACAGACAAGTGATGTGGACCAGATGATAAACTCAGAATTGGGGACCAAACCCAATGTGGAATGTGGAATCAGGTGCGTAGTAGTGTTTAGAGTAGAGTGTGACAAGGGACTGGCAACGGGTTGCAACTCATCTTCAGGGATTTCTGCTTGGTTGTTATTTAACCTGGAGGTGCCAAATTGATTAGATTCGAGGATTCTGTTGAATTGAAGCTTGGAAGTGTAATGCAACCTATTGCACTGAAACTACAATGACTTGCACAGGTTGCTGACGGATTTCAACATACATGACAGCAGAGGATCACTCACATTACCACATGGTGTAATATTTATTCAAGAGAATTCAATTACAGACCTATTAGACAGGGCAGTCTCCCTGTGAACAGTACTTAAAATGTTTAGGATCTTAACGACGGTTGCTGAGAAAATACATCACCGTGGCAAGTGTCACCACTAAAGTACACAAAATAAAACAGTAGACACTCCATAGCTACCACGCCAGACTAACGCAAGTGTTGAATTTGGTTATGATTGTGACAGGTGGGAGCTGTTGTGTGGAGCGGTCTGTTTCAAAACCGAACAATTCGTGCTTAAACGAAGATGTAGAAATAAAAGTGCAAAGCGAAATTAGTAAGCACATGAGGAAAGAGAACAGATCAAGTCTGCATCATATTGACACGATAGCCTCCACAGACCATTGGGTTCCTGATGAGCTCCACCAGAACGCAAATGAAGAAAAAGCTCATTCTCCACTTTCTGTACTTCAGATCAAGGAAGGGCCTAAACTTTGCGCGTCTCCAGTTGAAAAGCAGAACTCCACTTCAATCTCGCAAAGAAATTCGACATCGTTAAAACCAGAAAAGAATCATCTATCCTTGGGCGTTACAGATCCGCCAGCCAGAGAAGAAAAACAACATTCACCTCCTGAAGTACGAAGGATTGCAGAATTGATAGTGCCTGACGAAGAACGATCATTTCTTGGAGTTTCAGATGCTCCGGTTACCCACACAGGTAACCCAATCTTCTTTCAAATAGGGGAGATAGTATGCTATTTATTTATTTATTTATTTATTTTTATCGTCGTCATTTGTTTACTTTTCATGGAATACGGTTGTGCTTTTTAGTTTGTAGCATTCCTACCCAGTCAAGACATACGTCACTCATGAAGATTGTTAACATGAAAAGGGAAGAACGTTGTGTGAAGTGGTGCAGTACAAACCTCCATAGACAATGCAGCCTTGTGAGGCACTGTGCTGAAAGACTTACATGTGGCTAAATAGGTGCACTTAAATTCTATTCCAACACACCCCAAGTCTTTGAGAGGCAGGAAATAATAGAGCTTGCACACGAGCAGCATGACCGAACAAATATCCAACGAAATCCACCCCCTACTCAAGACGTCAAACAAGATGCAGGATCTACCACATATGACGCTGCTTACGTGAAAATGCTGGAGAGCTACGTGGTTCAGCTCAAACTTGAAAACAACGTACTCAGATTCTCAAGTGGTTCGTAGAGCTAACTGATCCTGTATCAGATGTTTTCATATTTCAGTTTTAGACTAGGAAATTAGCCACCAATTACACTACTTTAGAATTTCTGGTACTTGAGCACCTCAAAATCTTCACCCTCAGTAAGAGTTCTCAATCCACACGCCTGACCAAGAATAAGAAAGGGTCAACTCTAGCTGACGAGGATAACAGCCAGAAAATATGACCTCAGTTTCTGTGCAGCATGCTCCTGCTGCTCGTCTTAAGAGTTATGTAGCGTTTGTTTGTAATCCAAAATCTGTCAGGCATTACTTCCTGCCAGGTTTCACTAGCTACAGACCAAAGATTCCATGACCATCTCCTTGTTGATAAAAACTCCCAAATTACATCATGTTCGTGACATTACACTGAACTCTTTGCATCACCCCGCCCACAACACTTATTCCATATCAAATTCTCCTATGGTCTTACAAGACATCACCTATATGATCAATCCAACTTTTGAAGAAGTAATGGATAAGTTAGTCATTGAAACATTATGGCAATTCAAGAGCAAAAACGAGGACAAGAAGAAGCATTCTTTGTCCAATTTTAAAGAGCTTCACTTAGATAAGAAGGAGCTTTAGAAAGAAACAATTACTTTCAAGAAGGTTGCAAAGGACAAGGCCTTGGATAAAATCCATCTTTATATAATGGGAGCTATTAACATTAAGAATGTAGTCTTCTATCAACCAACTATCCTCCCTACCAACAAGCCTTCCACAACTAAGTTAGAGAACCATCACCAAAAGCAATGATAAATATTCCTCCAATAGCCTATATAATTGAAAAAAGACAATTTAGCAGCAAGAACATTATGTGCTACAACTATGATATTGTGTTGTAATACAATTATATGGTAAAAATATAAACAAAATTGATTTCTAATTAATATTCAACCATCTTGGTTCAATAAGAACTCAAGAAAATTAAGAAAGAATTTATGAACATCTCTTAGATTATTTACTTACTTAAATACCTAATAGATAAAAACTAGTTATCAATTTTTCCTTCTAGATTGTAGAAACTCTTTTATTACCTTAAAAAGGCTATAAATTCGTAAATATAAGGTAGATGAGATAAATAATTGATATGATTGATATTAAGGTAAAGATGATGATAGGGTTGTGCTTAAAAATCCCTAAGATAAGTTGGATTGGTACCTAAGGGATGACCATTTGTAGATTGGAATCAAAATCAAATCTCCAACCACTAAAATGGTTGGCATGGAAAAATAGAGGAAGATTTATAGAGATCACCAAATAGAATCAGAGAACTAGTAACAAGCTTCTTTCAGAGGCATAAGGCTTATTTTCTTAGGTTTTGGGAAGACTTTATAATCAGTGTTCAAAGTCAGGGTTTGTATTGGTGACTTAAGATTTATACAATAAAATTAGGAATAGCACTCTCGGCTAATTTATGAGATTGGTGCAACATCTATGGTTCAAAATTTTTCAATGTGTATTTGTTTAGGTGTCCTAAGTGTACAAAAAAATCTGCATTATTCTAATGGTGCAATTTGAAGATATTCAATCATTGGTACAAAGAGATATCGGAAGTTGGTAGTTTAGGGTTGGTTAGGATTTTTGTGATATTTAGAGATCTACTAGTTAGAGTACGGTAAAATTTGATATGGTGTTAAAAGACTTGAAGACCAAGGTAGATATAAATTTTGAGTGGAAGTATATAATTGGAGAAGGAGAAATTGCTATTCAAAATTTGTCATCAACTTTCAACATGGCGACCAAGGAATACCAACGTGGATTAATGGCATTTTTTCACAATTTGTAAGTTAGATTAATTTGAAACTTCTTGAGCATATAGAAGATTTATAATGACATTAGTAGAAATTTTTTTGCACCAATTAGATAATTAGATCAAGAATCATAGCTTATTGAAGCTTGCTACCTAAGGTTAGGATTTGGAAAGAAAATTGAAAGTTGGAATGAGGTGAAAGTAACAAAGAAATTTGGATTTGTGCTTGCTTGAGGTTAATAATGAGAGTTTTTTTTAGCACTTGTATTGGTTGTAAGCTTTTTGCATTGAAATTCTAATTATTTTATTTTTAGATAGTTGAAACCTATTAGGGTTTCTTAAATACTTATAAAATATAACTTTATTTTCTATAGCCAGATGCCTGATGCATTTCCAAGCAAGACATTATGTAATACGACAGTAGTAGACTTAAATGTATATCTAGAGAATGTCTAGATTGAAGATCTTATCTAACAAATGCAAACCACATTAAAAAAGATTACTACGAAGATAATTATGTAGAAGATGTAAAATGATTGATAGATACAAACTTAGCAAAATATCAAAATTAACATTGGTATATAGATTCTTGTACATCAAATCATGTAACAAGAAAGAAGAAGAGCTTATATATTATGGAATTTATCTTTTTTCTATAGTTTAAAAGTAGGAAGGATCAAAATATAAAAATTGCAAATAGTAAAGTTCACCAAGTTGAAGCAATTGATTCTTTACATATAAATACTACTTCTCAAGAAATAAATTTGAATAATTTTTTTTATGTGCTTGCATTGCAACTTAGTCTCATATCAATTAAATTTCTAAATAATGAAGAAAAAATCAAAGTCTTCACTAATAGAAAGTATTTCATCTTAGATGATAAAACAAACAAGAATGTGTTAGCCATGGGCATTAAAGATCATTCAAATAGACTATAAAAATTCAAACATATATCTCAATTAATAAAAGTAAATTTAATTTCAAAAAATAAAAATGTAGACCTATGAAACAAAAGATATAAACATCTCCACTATGCCAACTTACGACATTTATTAAGAGTAAGAAGAATATATGATTTATCTACCTTTGGCACATTGAAAAAGTTTTGCATAAATGCCTTGCTAAATGTCAATATCAAGAATGGTTTTTGAATCAAGTACACAACAAATACACACATGTATTATAGTTACTATACTTAGACCTTGTAAGATCAATCAACACTCTATTATAAAGAAGGTCTAAGTATTTTGTAGTATTTATAAATGACTTCTCCAAAAAATAATTATCTACCTCATAAAGAACAAAGGTGAAATATTTGATAAGTTTAGAGAATGCAAGACCAAAGTTGAAGTTGAAGCAAGATACAAAGTTTTAACCCTACAAACAAATAAGGGAGAAGAATATCTAAGTTATATATTCAATGATTTTTTGAAAGACAATAATATGAAAAGACAACTCCCTATAGTACTTATATTCTAATAAAATGAAGTAAGTGAATAAAAAAATAGGATATTAGTCAAGTATGTTATATCCATAGCCTTAGCAAACAATTTTTTAGGATATCTTTGAATTAAAGCCATAAATACAACAAATTATTTAATTAATTTAAATCTAATTTAAACAAATCATGAACTAATTCTAAAAGAGAAATGAAATAAGAAAAAACCAAGGATGGATCATCTTTGAATCTTTAAATTAATAGTATTTCTATACATATCAAAAAAAAAAGGGATAATAAATCTTTGAAGTATTTCTTTATAAGCTTCAATGATGAAACTAAGTCTTACTAATTGTTTAATCCAATCACTTGTAGAATACATATAAGCAAAGAAATAGTTTTTGAAAAAGATCAAATAAGATATGTCTTTTTAAAAGCAAAGGATTTATCTCTTGAAGAACCAACCTTGTTTTGAAAACCTTACTTAATCGACTCTAAAGACATAACAAAAATCTAACAATCACATGAAATGGTGGAACTTCCAACCATTCAAGAACCATCAAATAAAGTTTTTCATATAAAAATATTATCAATTAGTCATGAATCATTTTGAAATCCTCAACCAAGATATCTTATATGTGAATAAAGACTTAGTGTAAGATTTTGTAATAATTAATTAATGAATGTAGAAACAAGAAAGGAAGTAGAACCATTTTGTTTTGTATTAGCCATATAATATAATAGTTAGAAGGAGGTGATTAAGTAAGAAATAGAATCAATTTAAAAAAACCAAACATAAAGACTTTTAGACTTATTAAAAGAAAAATGATCAATCTCTACAAAATAGGTATTTAAATCCAAAAAAAACTTAAGTGATAACATAAAGAAATTAAAAGTAAGATTTGTGGATACAAACTTTAAGCAAGAAGAAGGCATTGATTTCCTTGAAACCTTTACACTAGTTGTGAAGTTGACTACTATTTTTAGTATTATTTCTTTTACAACTAGAAACAAATAAATATTATAATATCTCAATTTTAAACTACGTTTTTAAATGGTAATATTGATGAAGAAATACATATGATCTTACCTTTAAGCTTTGAAGAAGAAAATAGTCAAGGAAAAGTATGCAAATTAGAAAAAGATACTATATGGACTATGACAAGCTTTGAAAGCTTGGTATAAGCATATGAACTGTGACCTAAAATAATAAGAATTATAGAAGAATTGAAAAGATTTAAATTCATATTTTTTTGATAAAAGATAAAAAATATGAAATTTTTCTATTATACATAGACAACAACATAAAAATTAAAAAATTCAAAGGATAAATGATGTATATCTTTGAAATATTAAACTTAAATAACATAAAAATCTACTTAGGAGTCAAATTCTATTATAATGAATTGAGAATCTACTTCCATAAGAATCAATATATAAAGAAGTTCTTAGAACAATTTGAAATATTCTCCTACACTCCAATAAGTGCACCTATGAATTCTATGGACAATTTGTAAAAAATAACTTACACATCTTTGGTTGACAAATTCACCTATCAAAGTCTTATTAGCAGCCTACTATATGCTATAATCAATAGATAGGATATTTAGTATGTAATGGATTGTATCTCTTGGTACCTCAATAATCTACAACATTTCATCTCATGATAGTTAAAAACATATTAAGATATCTAAAAAGAAGCATCAACTATGTAATATTATATCCATCAAAGGACAAAGAGAACTTACTTGTATTTGCCAATGTAGACTAGGTGGAGAAGATTGACAACCATAAGTCAATTTTAGGTATTTTCTACGAGCTTGGTTTAACATCCATTGCGTCATCAAGTAAGTTACAGCTCATCCTATCCATGTCCTCTATAAAAGTAGAATAAAAAGTATTTGCAAAAGCTGCTAGGAATATAACATACTTTTATAGATTGCTAATGGAACTACAAATTAATAATACAAGACTAATTTTTTTACACTGTAATAATATAAGAAATATTAAATTAATAAGAAATCTAATTTTATAAAATAAGTTAAAACACATAAATTTAGAACATTATTACATTAAATTTGTTTTTGAAGATAGAAGCATTGTAGTAATCTATATCTCCAGTAAGTATCAATAAGAGAATGTGTTTACTAAATCATTTTTTAGTCCTCAATTTACTTACAATCAAACATTGGTTAGATTAATAAAAATGTTAATTTAGAGTCTTATTATAAAAAACTAAAAATCAACAAAGAAATAAAAAGTTCTTAGGTTCTATTTACTAAACTAATTTGCTCAAGTCAAGAAAAGCCTCAACTTCTTGTAGATTTCTGAAACTCCTATACTATATTCTACTAAAATGAGCTACTTGGAGAATACAATCTAACTAAGATACATATAGCTTGAAAATTTTACATCAAGAAACTACATAGAACTTGTTATTCCTTCAAAAGATAAAGTTATAGGATCAATCCAAAATTCCTAATACAAAGATGTATTTTTGCTTCTTGAAACATATTATGATATAGACTCTTTAAGAAAAGGTAGAAAAATATACTCTTGTGATAAAGTTATCTCAACTTAAGATAAAGAAACAAGCTCTTATAACATGGTTACCTCAACTGAGGGTAGAAGAATATATTTATACTTCACTATAATCTTAGCTTTTTCAATATTCTTATCTTCAATTAGACACTCATGTCAAACCATGGAGTCTATAAGGTGGGAGAAGATCTTCATAGATAGTGAGTCACAAGATCAATAAAGAACCACAAATAAAAGCCAAAAGATGAGTAAAATTAATTCTATTTATATCAAAAATACCTATAGAATTAGATATTTACTATTATAATTAAAAATTAAAAAAGTAAAATTAAAAATGGTATTGTACCATTAATAGTTCATCAATAAAATCTCTAAGATGTTCCATAATTTCTATTTTTGCTACTTAACGTTGAATTATTTATAATAAAATGATGTATTGGATTGAAGAAGAAGGAAGGAGGGGGAGGGAGGGGGAGGAGATGATAAAAATTCCCAAAACGCCCTATGTTAGTGACATCACATTGAATTCTCCGTATCACATTGCCTACAATACTTATTTCATATCAAATTCACAAGCACTAAATCACTTCATCCATAGTACTTATCTTCCATTATTTTACCTATTAAAAGAATAGATTGTAGATTATTAGGTATGATGAAGCTAAATATATATATATATATATATATATATATATAAGTATATTTTATGAGATATTGTGGCCATATAGTAGTAGCTAAGCTCTACTTGCTCAAGTATATTACTTTATTTTTTAATCTATATATTATTATGTTTTCAACTCTAATTTTCCTTGAAGCAATTCTTTAAGTTGAGCATCCAAAAGTATCTTGCTTTGAAGCATTATGATAAAGAATAAAAAAAAGTTTTGAGTAAGTAGAAATCAATGCTACTCTTATGCTTGCATCTTATAATTATTAGTTTTAGCATTCTCGTGACTAGCAAGTTTCTCAAGGTAAAAAATTAGTACAAAATTTCTTCCAATGTTTCTAAAAAGGGATCCTATAGCGTTACTTGAAGTATTTTATTTGATCCATAATTTGTTGCAATAGTAATAACATATAATAATAAATGATTATCAGTCACATAAAAAAATAGATTTTCACTTTATCCAAACATATAATAACACTTTGAAGAATATAAAGCATTTCTACATAAATGCAAATCTTTTATTTTTGGTATATTTGTTGTAAAAAATTACATTTACATCAATGTATTAGACATTGTCATAAAAAATATGTTAGTCCAAAATCCTATTATAGATATATATATATATATATAGATATATATATATATATATATATATATATATTCTACATATTATTTCTTAATTTTTTGAAAATTTATATAATCACCAAGAAAAAAAAAGAATATTTATTATAGTATGTTTAATGTTTAATATTTATTATTTTATTTTATTTTATTTTACTTCCATATTTTTTTAAATTGTAGTTTTTCAAAAAGTGTGATATATACATATAAAAATGTTTTATAACAATGTTGATAAATATTTTTTAATATTATGCAAATAATCATTTTCATATCCATATTCTTATAATTATTTGCATAATATACAATATATCCAAACCAATTTAACCAAGTTTTATTTGACCTTATAATAATAACTTCACTATATATATTTTTTAAAATTGTCCACTTATATGTTAAATGCAATTATTTTTTGTGTTAGAGTTGAGAAGACTATTAAGTGGAACCCTAACTTGCTACAAAGTGGCTGATAATTTATGTAATTGGAATAATGCATTGACTTTTAGAATTGTAACCTTTCGTATTGCTCTTACTTCTACCTTTTTAAAAGGCATTTGGTTTTAAGTAGCCTTCTATACTTTTTCTTTATTAATCAATGCTGAGTCACACCCCGTTTTAGTGTCGAAATGATAAGTAAACGAATAAAATCTTCTTTTGTGTATATCAACACAGATTAAATTGTCCACACTATCTTACCTGACACTTTGAGTTAAGGAGAAGAAGGTATATTTAAAAGTTCCAACTACATTCTGCAAATATGCTGTGTCGATACATGCTATGACGGTGTAGAATGTGCTACTCATTGTGCAAATAGCAGCTCATACAATGTTTAATAGTTCGACATTTGCGACACGGATTGAACTGAGTTGGCTTAAGAAATGTAGCTAGGATGTGCTTGTTTCGGTTTGGCTTTAAAACTTGTGTGGAGAGAGGAGCAACTTTGTTTTCAAGACACGACGAACACCAAGTCTGCAAGAGGATTCCATCCCTGGCATAGCCATTTTCGTGTTATCCCGTCTGCGGATTCGCATGCTCCGTCGAGAGCACCTCGTGTGAATGTTCCGGCGATCGTCAATTTCTTCGATCATTTCATTTACATCTAGAAAAGTAATCCAAACATCTGGCGATGATTTACTTGTTCAGCCACGATGCATAACACAAGAAAGAGACATATTACACATAGAATCCCCTATCAGGATCGTTTCGTAACCACAACCTTTAAGTTACAATCTGCCTAACTAGACCAAAGAGAATTCAAGCTCAGCGCAGAAGCAGAACGTACACACTGCTGTAGACAAAAATGAATGAAATTCAACACTTCTCATCAGGATCCAGTTCCACAGGAGACAACTTCGCTACCACGAACTCACTGCCCTGCAGGGAAAGACCATTCAAAGTCCACACCGGCTAATTGGAACAATTAACACTACACCTCAAAATGGTACACAAAATTCCTGTTTCCTGGATCTACAGGTCCAAACCGGAGTCGTCGTCACCCTCTGGCAACGTCGAGGAGTAAGTGAAGTACAATGTCCAGATAAGGGCAGTCACGCCGACCAAGATCCATGTCAACTTGGTGTTGCTGATACCGAGACCCAAACCTGTTCCTTCAGTGCTTAGCCTCTCGTCCACGAGAGCCAGCACGGGGTGAGAGTAAGCAAGGGTAGCCGCGGATGTCACAGCTGCAGCGAGCTGAGCGACGCCATTGACACGCTCCGCCTTGGACTCCGACCTCTCAGCCGCGCAAACAACCTTGGGCATGCGCAGAGCGGGGAGACCTGCACGTCGTCAAGACCCAAGTCAATTCAACACTCGCGCTTCAAAAACCCATCCTCAAAGCGTCGCAACCACTGCGCAAACACCCACATACCAAAACCAGAAACAAGTCACAATCTCGAGAAACTGGAATGAAAGAGAGGGGTTTGAGGTACAAACCAGCGACAGGCTTCAGAGTGGCTGCGAAGCCAGAGCTAGAAGAGGCAAGCGATGTGGTCGCAAGGCGGGTAGCAGCGGTAGCGCAGGATGCAGAGGCGATGGCAGCCATGGCTGTTGGGGGGGATGGGGTGAGTCACGGATCACTCCAATCGGGGAATTGAGCGCAGGTGAACAAGCTAGACTGCGAGGAGTTACGAATGCGGGCAAACTTCAAGGCTGGAATGTGTGAGGAGGAGGCGTTGCGCTGCGATCAGATGCGTTCCGATGAGGACAATCGCGCATGCGCGGTGCGTGATCCAGTCACGGCGCGAGCCCAACGAGAGGTGGAGATGGCTCGCGATTCTCACTGGCACTGCCGTGTGGATTCCACTACAAGTACAAATACTTCGTTGATAGTAAAAGTTCGAAATTGTGGATTTTATGCTGTATTAAGATTTTCCTCATGTTTTAGGAACAAATTCACTACACACTCAATGGCTTTTGTTAAAAATCTCCTAACATTCTTGTTATTTCTAAATGTTTTGTAAGTGCTCTTCGAAGCAAATACAATGTATCTGCTTTGCTATTGGCATTGTGCAGGATTGCCAATTTTGATACATCAAAGATGTGACAGAAGCTAATCGTATATGTAATAAATTTCATATTTGGCAAGAAAGTTGTTACCAATTCAAAATACATGTGTGACCCTTCTGTTTGTGTATTGAAAAGTAAACTCTTGAATGCGAGAACATAGATATTGGAACAATACAGTGAGACCCAGAATAGATAAGTTGCATACCGCTTGCATGAAAGGGAACTGGGTCAAACTTGTTGCATGTCGATGGATTAATGCAATCGGCGCATCAACATGACCACCAAAGAGAGCGAGTGAAAACCTACTAGACGTTCAACACCAGAATAATTCTCTGACATCATGAACGTATCCTTCCATAGATATGTGCACTAGCACAATCCCTAGGAGGTGAAATTCCGTCATGGCATGTCACAGCAGACAGCACCAAAAACTAAAATGTCACTATTCGACAGTGCAATGGTCAACATGCGCGGTGTAGAGAACCCAATGTGGAGCTGTTCCTTCGCATTCGGTTTATTAGACAAGGGTCAGAAGCCTACCAACGGTTTAGGGCTTGCTCATTTTGGGACATCTCCTAATCATTCGTTACAGTCATTCATAGTTGTGTTTAAATAGTCACCGACCCAAACAGTGGTACATCAAAGAGAAAGAAACAGTCCTTTCATATGAACCATCTGCAATGGTTGAGTTCAGTAGCCACTTTCCAGTTCTATAATTAGGGCGTGTTTGGAGATGAAATGACTCGAATTACCTACTGAGATATATTGACATGCTTCACATAGACATCAATGCGACATTTGTATCTAAATGTGCACGCCAAAAGGTGATTCCGTCGTGCGCATGATTAAATTTATCAGGTTTCGGACACATGTACACGTTGAGAAATCGGCTAATTGGAACAGAAGAACCGGCATCGCAAACAGTTCGATATGTATTCTAGAATAGCGCCACTGCTCCTTCGTTTACAAGTCCAAACCCGAGTCATCGTCACCCTCTGGCAACGTCGAGGAGTACGAGAAGTACAATGCCCAGATGAGGGCGGTCACGCCAACCAAGATCCATGTCAGCTTGGTGTTGCTGATACCAAGACCCAAACCTGTCCCTTCCGTGCTCAACCTCTCATCCACAAGAGCAAACACTGGGTGTGCGTAGGCGAGGGTGGCCGCGGACGTCACAGCAGCAGCGAGCTGGGGGAAGCCAGAGAGCTCCTCCGTCTGCGATTCCTTCTTCTCAGCCGAGCATACGATCTTGGGCATCCGCAGGGCGGGAAGACCTATACAATGCAGACCCAATCCGTTTCAAAGATTACACATGCACCCGACCATAAAAACTCTCATAAAAGAGCTACAACCATGTCCACACCAGTACAGGAGTAAACTTAATCCAACCAGCCACACAAAAGACAACAAATCTCAAGGGCCAATGCAACAGTCACAAAACCAAAATCAAAGATCCTCAAGTGCTACAAAACACAACCCAACACAGAGAACCAGAATACATTAAACCAAGACAGATGGGAGAGTAACCAAACCCAGTTGCAGAAATGAGACTGATTAAGGGGGAGGGGGGAAACACAGAGCAGGGGATTACCAGAGACGGGTCTAGCGGAAGACCTGAGGCCGGTAGGAGTGGCCAGGGGCTTCTGCAAGAAGCAGGTGGTAGCAACGGCGGAGGTGGAGGCGACGGCAGCCATGGCGAAAAGGTGGGATGCAACGCCGGTCCAAGCGCGAGGGAGAAGGGATGCAGGAGTAGATTGGGGGGGGGGGGGGGGTGCTGAGCTCCTATGGACGGAGGAGGGCGAGGGGGAGCTATAGAGGGGAAGCGAGGGGAGGGAGGAGTAGCAAGCGGGCAGGGGAAGGGAGTAGCAAGCCAGCCACAGGGTGGGCAATGGCCCCTCCCTCCCAGTGATTGCTCCGTTGTGGATAGGGTGCGATCCCACGCACGCCCATTGCCAATGAGCGGTGCTCATTCCTTGCCTCCCCTCTCGCAATCCCCCCCCCCCCAAGTCCCCCGCTCTCCCCGCTCTCACGATTCCTCCGTCCTCGTCTCGCGTTGCTTACCATCATCCGTTACTTCGGGTTCGTGACTCGCACGCTCTCTTGCGGATGAAGCATTTTCTCAGTGCTGCGAAACGGGGGATTCCATCTCTCCTGTCCCACAATCAAAAGAGGCGCAGTAGAGACTTGTAAACTACGAAATGGATGGGTTTGCAAGTGTAAGTGATAATGGGGAAATGGGAGTGAGAAACCTTTGCTTTGATCATTGTATATTGATCCACAAAAAAAAAATACAACAACAAAGTATTTAAAAGGTACAGTTTGAGAATACTTTTTGTGCACTAAAAGAAAACAAACACAACTTAAAACTATTATGATTGTTGTTTTGTTACTTTTTAGATTTAAAGAAATTGCAATTATAAGCTTCAAGTATTACAATGCATGTTGAATTTATATTTTTTAATTACTTTTATTCAAGGCTAAATATATGTATATACACATATTAACATATGTATTAGTTTGAATAATACAATTTAAAAATAGTCTATTGTCTTTTGAAATATTGGTTGTATATTCTAGAAGGTCAAACACAATTATATTTATTTTAAATATAACATAATTGTTTTAGCAAAATGACATTTTGAATTGGAAATATTTCATTCTTTCTTTTAATTAAAAAGCTAGAATTTTAATTTTAATGCTTTATTAAAAAAAATACAATATGGTGAATTTCTTTACTTAATATATATATATATATATATATATATATATATATATAATATTACTGAGTGTATGGACATCATTAACCATTATCTAGTTTAAATATAAATTCTATATATATATATATATATATAGATATATAGATATATAATATTAATGACTGTATGGACATCATTAACCATTATCTAGTTTAAATATAAATTCTTAATTTTATAGCAAGATAAGTTTATATTTTATATATTCATTTAGAAAATAATTCAATTCTATTATATTAATCCATTACTAAATATGAAATTTTTATTTTGAAGATTGAATTGTAGCATCAATAGCAAAGTAAAATTATTAACCAAAAGGATTGTTTAAATAAAAGAAATTGATTTTGTTTTATTTTGTTTTGTTTTGTTTTGTTTTTTTGTTTTTTTTTTTTACTATAACCTTCTACCAAAATGTTTTGAATGTGATTGTGGTGATTTTTTAAAATATAACAAATCTATTGCTATAAAAATTTTAAAAAATTGAAATAATTTTTTTATTTAATGGCCTTGCATTAAATAAAAAAATTACCTTTACTTTGTTATTCTAAGATTACTTATTAATTTTTAAATATTCTATTTGTGAAAAAAATAATATTAAAATAGTATCCATAATATTTTAATTAAAGATGGATGACTTTTATATAAGTAGAAATAATAATTAATATTACTATTATTTTATTTTAATATAAAAATAGAATATAACTAATATTTATTGATAGAATAAAATGAGTTATAAAAAGACAATTTAACTTTTAGTATCCAACAAAGTAAAGTTAAGAGTAGTTTATAATAAAAATTGCTATTAATTTCTTATCAAATTACAAATTAATGTATCATTGCATTACATTATGATATTCTAAAATTAAATTTAATTATATTTTATAGTCTAGGATCAATTATGTGTTTAACAATGTAAGATTTGTTTCATTTATAAAAGAGACTTCTCTCATATCCATGATATATTTCATGTTTCTTTTTGAAGACTATCTAATTAATTTATTTGTATTTTATTATTTGTAAATTTGGATACAAAGGAAATAAATAGAATACAAATAAATAGAAAAAAAACAAAAAATATGAAGTATTCTAAATTATATTAAAAAATAAATTACATCATATTTTTTTATAAATTTGGATACAAAAGAGATTAATAAAATATAAACAATAGAATATAAATAAAAAATATGAAGTATTTTAATTTAGTATAGAAGTTACTTCACATTTTTTGTTCAAAAATAAGTTTGTTCTTTTCAACATAAAAAATACACAAGCAACTATTAAGGACATAAATTACAAACAAAAAAAATCCTCAATACACTCTTCACTCAAAAAGAGTAGATATTTATTTAAAGATAATAATGTATTTGAACTAGAATAGCTTTGTCAAAGACAAGAAGACTAGAGATGCTTGAAATAAGACTAAAAACAAGAAAGGCATTGACAAGAGTGAAGAAGGCTTTTCTCTTGCCTCTATACATACTATCTAACTAGAAGCTATTTACCAACGTTCTATAAGATCTCCAACATATATCTAATTTGCAAAGCAAGTTTTTTCTATGTGCACCACATGGCCAACTTATACCACAAGTTGCCAACATGTGCAACATGTGTCCAACTTATTGGCTAAGTTTTTAACCTACCAATTAACTACAAACACATCTAAAATTAAATCCACATCTATAAAGCTTGTACAAAGCTTCATCACAAGATATTATCATATCTACTTTCAATTGTTTTTTTTCTAACACTTTTTATCTAGGTAATTATGTATGTTCATTATAACAAGTTCTTTTTTATAATAATCAAATTTTTTTAGTATTATTTAAATTATAGAAGGATATTTTTTTAATAAAAATAGCTTGCTTCTATGTAGAAGCTTTTCAACACTTTTATTTCCAAAGATTGGATGTCAATGTTTTTAAAAAATAAACGTGTTCCAATTTTAAATTCAACAAATTTGGTGGCATCTCTAGTATTTGCATATAATAGTTTTTGATATTTAAAGAAGGCATATAAGACAATCAATGTGATATGTAAACTAACTATCCTTCTCTATATATTGATGGCAATTGTTTTTTGCCATAAAAGTTGAATAAATATTGTTTCTTTGTAAGCACAAGGTTTGGACTAAACGTTATGTAAAGAGCTATACCAACTGACATACCTTCAAGGATACCATGGCTTTAGAAATAGTTGATGTCTTTTTATTTTCGGTTTTTTATTTTTATTTTTATTTTCTTATAAGGCTTATTTTTGAAGCCATTCTATTAAAAATTTAAAAATCTATGGCTTAATTATTTTTTTGCTTAGAATATTAATTAATTTGGTTAAAAAAAATCTTTTTATAGTAGAAAATTCTTCATTGGATACTTTTAGATTAAAGTTTGATTTAGATATTGAGATGAAAAGAACCACTTATTTTTTCCAACTGCTTTGTGTTGAGTGAGGAATTGATAATCATTTAGATAAGAGTTAATAACTTCTAATTATTTAGATAAGAGTTAATAAGTAGAAATTTTAGATCCAAACATAAAAACTTATTTTAAATTTTTTGAAAAGAAAAGAGATTAAGATATAAGTGAAAACACATTGGGACTGAAATTTTCCAATTTTATTTTATACTTTTTAGCTAAAAATCTACTTGTGATTTTGAGTTAGTATCTATGTATTGTTTGGAATGTAATATAAATAAGGATTGTCATACACAATAGATTGAATGCTAGAAACCATCACCAAGTAAATAATAAAAAACTAAATAAGAATGGAGAACAAACACACTACTAAGTACCTTTTCTAGTTGATTATAAGTTCTACCAATCAGGTAAGATTACAACATACATATAATTAGAGATAAATGCTACACTCATATTTTTGAAAAAATTGTATACATTCAAGCAAATATTGTGGCAATTAGACCACCAAAACATATAGCAAACCTAAGAGAAGTTTTTAATTCTTATCAAAAGATGAAACATGGTTAAAAGAATTTTTACAATAGAGACAAATCTAATATTTTAAAAGAAGAATAATAAGTAGTGTCAAGCATGCCATATGCCACCTATATTTCTATTGTATTAACCTTAGAAATCACAATTAATAAAGAAATTATTGAGAAGATGTATTATAAAGAAATAGAAAGGTAATAGATTAGCATATATATATATATATATATATATATATATATATATAGTATAGAAAATTAACTTATAGAAATAAGTGTAAATAAGGTTAGAAAAGATAAGAGAGTATAAAAAGACAAAGGGATTAGTTGCCAATATATTTAAAAGATAAGATAGTTATGGTAATTAAAAATAAATTATTTTTATTATATTTAATTAATATTAGAAGAAATTTATTATAAAAAATCTATAAATAGATTCAAAGCTATATTATTATTATAAAAAAAAATTATAAAAAAGAAATTACAATTGACATGCTTGCATGTGATTTCAAATACTATTGATTTAGTATTGAGTTATAAGAGTTGCAAGATATAGATGTTTGAAGACAACAAAGACAAGAAGAAGTTAATAAAGATATAAATACTTAAAAATTAGGTTAAAAAAGATAAAGTCAAGATGAAGTTAATAAAGATACAGATGTGTGAAAATTAAGTTGAAGAAGATAAGAATAAATCCATGAAGATATAAGTGTTTGAAGAATATATTAAAGAAAACCAAACAAAATTAAAAAAAAATATATTGAAGATAATTTTAAGGTTGAATTGTTTTACCATAATTTTCCTCACTCTTTTTATTATTTATTTATAAAAATATAATTAAAAATAAAATCTTAATTAATATCTAATTATCTTAATTCAATAATAATTCAAGATATTTAAACATGCCTTTTATAAAAGCCTCTTGGTTTATTTTTTTTGTCTTAATAGTTAGTAGATTGAAGGTTGGTTAGTAATTTCACCTTCTAGGCTATAGAGACTCTTTTACTGCCTTAGAAAGACCATAAATTGGTAAAATCAAGTTAGAAGAGATAAATAATTAGCATGGTTGATAATAGGATTAAGTTGAAGATAAAATTGGATTAAAAAATACCTAGGATAAGTTAGATTGATACCTCGGAGTCGA